TGTGGGTCACCGTTTGTCATATACTCTCTTCTTAGTCTTCTTCGTTCCTTTATTTTGTTGATTACGTCAAAGTAAAACTTTTAAATTTAGCCAATCTCGTTTTCGAGACCCAAATGGTTCGATACCGGTCTCGAGGCCTACAACACTGACCAATATTGTTAATGAAAATAATATTAAAGAAATAACAGAGTCGTCAACTTATTATTTTTTATTAAATTTTTGCACAAGAACTGAGTATACTTCACATACTGAACACACAAACACTAATTGGTAACTTCAAGTAATGTCGTAGATTGAATGTTCGTTGAACAACGTAGAATCAGTGTCACATAAACAAGACTCTCTACATTCTTTCCTAAAAACGCCGTATTGACCGATGAAAATCCACCAAGTGGCTCAGACAGTATAACTTTAGAGAAATCTGAGATAAATTATTATTACACAAGTTGGTGTTTAGCTGTGGAGTGAAGTAGCAGAACAATACTAATAATACGGCCAAAAACTAGTGTTTATGAAGATACAATATAATAAATTAAATTAATACCTGAATCGAACAATAAATAGGTACAATACTGAAGACCATAAGGTGTAAGTTACGCACAGTACGATGTTCACACAATGCAGTAGGCTCCTTAAAAATAATCGTTTTTTTTTATACACTAGAGTCTGCTCCACTCATGGTATCAGCCCCGTCACATCTTTCCTTGATCATGGAATTTTCTTAAGGGCAAGTCATTTCTTTACAATAAAGCTTCAGATTTCAGTTTCAATGCCAGCTGCGCTTTTGTCTACGATTTTATGAAAAAATCAAGAAAGCTTTCGATGACCTTGTATGTCTCCTATTCTCAACTCTAGCGATATGAACATAGTGAAGTACTCTTGACTTCACTATGAAAGTTTCGAATGCCTTGCAGTGTATTCATGTCGACAAAGGAAAAGGTTGAAGCATGAACGATTTCCACAACATCATTCAAAGCGTATTGAAAAAACGCGTGAAGAGCTGGGCTCAGGTGAAGAACCATCGCAGTATGCGAAGTTAAGTTTGGGAAAACTGCATCACGTGGTTGTCAATATCTAAAGCTATAACTAACACAGTTAGGCAGCATTTCCAAACCAGAAAAAAACTCCAACTATCAATACTTTCACTATTACTGACAACTGTACAAATGAATTCCAAAACAGAACGTATGATGTTATGTATAGGATAAAATCAAAAGGTATACACCGTGAATAATGCACGCGCATATACGTATTTAAAAGATTAATTCGATGAGTAAAGAAATTTAAAAAAATTCAAATACTTTTCCCCTAGTAACATGTTTACGCCTGTTATCAAATAATATATTCATCTTATCAGTCACCCACAAATCAATAGCTCAACAAAAGTAACCAAAATTTCAAATTGTCCAGAGAAATTATTTTGGGTTACTTTGTTTGTAGTTAAGCACAAAGCTACAGAATGGGCTATCTGTGCTCTGCTCATCACGAGCATCGAAACCCGGTTTCTAGCAGTGTAAGTCCGCAGACATACCGCTGTGCCAATGGGGGAAATTTTGAGTTGCATGCCCCACTATGGGGAGTGTTGATTTTTTAAAACTTATTATACAGAATTTATGAATCAGCTTCCAATTATGATATCATAATGAAATGAGTTAAATCAGATTGACAGCTATAAAGAAGGCAATGGATCAGAGTGCTGAATAGAAAATCCAAGGCATTTGTGTAAGCTTTAACACACTGCGATTCCAATTAATCCAAACTTATATGATTCCCAGTATTGATTTATTTGTGTTATCAGAATATGAAAGTATATACTGTATTAAACGTATTGATTCGATGGTGGCCAAAACTTGAGTTTTTTACTTAAATATACATATTTTATAAAAGCCCAGGATCAACCAAGTCCTCCCTCAGGGGTCGACCTCCCAAGATACTACACTACACTTCCTACATGCGCAAATGGGATGTAGCTCAAAAGTGTGGTACTTAGCAAGTCTTGGTATGCATTTTCTTTTTCAAGCTGTAGTGTGAGTTTAATGTTCCACACAGTTTTAAAGTGTTCAGTGCGAAATAATTTTGTTTTTTTTAGCTCAAAGTTGCACAATGGCTATTTGCGCTGTGTTCACGGTGGAGAATAGAACCCCGGATCCTAGTATTACAAATCCGCAAACTTATTGCTGGTCCAATGAGAGACGTTCAGTAGAAGCATCACAATCATATTTATGGTTAAAAACTGTAAATGGTCTTAAAATTCGAGTGTTTAAAGGATAAATAAATCGTAAGTTGCCCGGCATGGCCAGGTGGTTAACGCACTCGACTCGCAATTTGAGGGTTGCGGGTTCGAATCCCTGTCACACCAAACATGCTCGCCCTTTCAGCCTTGGGGGCGTTATAATGTGACGGTCAATCCCACTATTCGTTGGTAAAAGAGTAGCCCAAGAGTTGGCGGTGGGTGGTGATGACTAGCTGCCTTCCCTCTAGTCTTACACTGCTAAATTAGGGACGGCTAGCGCAGATAGCCCTCGTGTAGCTTTGCACGAAATTCCAAAACAAACAAACAAACAAAATCGTAAGTTTAATGCAAAGATGTAAAATGATAAGTATCCCATTCAATTTCTACCATTAAATTCGTTTATCAAAATACGTCACTAGAAATCTGAGTTGGCTTTGGATGAACAGTTGTGAGTTTGAAGGATATGACTTTAAAGAATGGTGGGGTTGGTGTCATGGCATGGTCCTGTTTTAGGTGATGTGGACTTGATTCATTGATAATAGAAGACACTTACTGTTGTATTGTGTCATTCTGCACCATGCAGTACTGCTGGTATAGATAGTAATATATTTGTTTGTTTGCTTGTTTGTTTGTGGTTAAGCACAAAGCTACACAACGGGCTATCTGTGCTCTGCCCACTACGGGTATCGAAACCCGGATTCTAGCGTTGTAAGTTCGCAGGCATCCCGCTGTGCCACTGGGGCAAAGCTACACAAAGGGCTATCTGTGTTCTGCCCACTACGGGTATCGAAAACCGATTTCTAGCGTTGTAAGTCCGCAGACATACCGCTGTGCCACTGGGGGGCTAGTATTATATAGTAATAATGAAAGAACACAATATCGTGTGTAGCAATTAGTGAAAAAAACCCACAGTAAACGGAACAAACTGTCAGAAGTTTGATACCAGAGAAACTAGTTTCGACATATTCGTGTGTCCTCTTCAGTCTCACTAGTTTCTCTGATATAAACTTCTGACAGTTTGTTCCGTTTACTGTGTTTTTTCACTAGTATTTTATAGATGAGGCACATTACTTTTTCAACATAATAATAATGCGTATGCCGCATTATAATACCGCTTGCACTGTTCAACGTTTGATTTTAATATTGTCTAGTGAATGCCTTGCACCTCCCAGAGCTCCAACCTCAATTGATTTGTATCACCTCCTGAAGGACAAACCTTAAAATATTGCAACATTTGAAGCTATAGTTTGGGATTTATAACTGGAAGTGTATGAAAGAGAAGAAGCTTAATCTCTAATTTACTACCGTAGACTTGGTTCGCCAAAAACAAAGAATATTTTCCTGTTACCAGGTTTACAATAACACCTTGAGTAAGTCAATAATCGTCACCTTCAACCATCACGTATTTTCCTACCATGAGCAAGGCCAAAGTAAAGTAAGTATAAAAGGCGAATATTATGTTTGTTTGTTTAATTATGCACAAAGCTACACAAGGGCTATGTGTGCTCTGCCCACCACGGGTATTGAAACCCGGTTTCTAGCGTTGTAAGTCCGCAGACATACCGCTGTGCCACTGGGGGGCACGAATATTATGAAAATTGTTTATGTTAGCTAAAAAACATATTATATAAAAAACATATTCTATTGATTTAAAAAGTATCTTCGTGAATCATGGATTGATTTGAAGACAAGGATTTGTTTCACTGTTATTCTCTGAACTTTTTTTTTAAATTTCGTGAATTTCTTTTTTCAGAAATTTTAATATTCATCCACTTTTATACAAAATACATAATTAATTAAGAATATACCTAAAAAATTAAGGTAGAATACAAGTAATATTGTATTTTCCTCTGATACATCTAGCACAATAAAGTATAAATAACTCTAAAGGAAATACTCTGAAAAATTGAAATTAGTTCAAGAAACAATTCTAAACGGGTTATTTAAGCAATAGTACAGATCTTGTTAAGGCAGATTGTAATGTAATGAAACCTACTTAGAGGTTGACACTTTTTTATTTATTCACAGTTGAACACTCAGTGTACTAGATTAATATCTATATATAGAAAATAGGAAGTTTGTTTATTTGTTCGCTATAGGAAACCAAACGGTTGAACTTGCAAATTTTAAAATAACTTCGTAATAACCAGTTTTTTACAAGAAATTTAATGGTGCTATTTATTTTGTATTTGGTGTAGTATTTAATGACTAAATTGACAATTAATTATTATTGCGCCATTTTTTTGTAATAACTTTTTTTTGTAATAAACATACAAACATAAGCACGTTTTGCACATAGAAAGCATTATGACAGGAGACACTCAGAGCACCTTGCTGTCAATTCATTATTTCCAAAAATAGTTTTCTTTAAATAGTGCTAAGTGGTTTC